TCTTAATCTCTCCTCCCATGGGACCCGTTCCAAAGCCCTCAGCATTCTGTTGCCCTTTTTGGACCCTTTTCCAAGGCCAGTTTGGACAGAGGCGTGACGACGCCCGGGTTAGGAGACTATCGGGATGTGAGCCACTCGCCCCCTGGGGAGACCTGCTCGCTGACAGCCCACGGCTCCCAACGGCTCCTCTTTCTCCCTCCTTCAGGTCTTCCTCAGCACGAGGCGGGGCGCCTGGATACTCGGCCGGGTTGGAGAAGAAGGGTACCCCATTGACACAATTCATGTCACTCGCTATGAGGAATCCCTCAGACGCATTGCGCCTCTCCCCCTGCTTAACTACTTCTCAGAGAAGAAACTGAATGCCAAATTCAACCATGCCCTCTACGGGCTGCAGCCTGCACACAGGTGAGCTGTGGCGCTCGCGAGAGGGAGGGTCACGTCCATCCTCCCCAAGCAGCCGCCTTACCTCTCTGCACCCAGACGCCACAGGAGAGCGGAGAGCTGGGACGTGACCAGCCCTGGAGGGGGGGGCAAAGTCACAGGCCCCACCAAGGCAAAATGGAAGGGCGGAGGCAAACCTGCAGCTAGACACTCCCGTTAGGCCTGGGTTCGAGCCAATCTCTGACTGTCGCCAGGGACCCAGCTCTCGTGGCGACTGACAGGCCAAATTGGAGCGCTTGTAGAGCCCTGCAAACCCACGGATCCCTGCTCGCTCGTCGTGGGTAGATTAGAGGCGTGGGGACGAACACTGTATCCACGCAGGGCTCTAAGTATCTGCCTCGCCTGGGCCTAGCTCTTTCCCCAGGGCTACCCTCCAGAACATGCTTATCTCTCTGGATACAGGGAAAACTTAAACAGCACATGGTCTGGGAGCACGTCACAGACTAACCAAACATGTCGATAGCATCATGAGCTTCCGTGGGCACAGCCCACTTCTTCAGATGACCGGAGTGTTGGGTGTCCAGACCCAAGAATCATTGAATAATGATTTTTATTCTTAGTTCTGGACATCCCATACTCCCATCTGCTACCAGACTCTTTGTTGTTTCGTAAGTTTTTCCTGCGACAGACTAACTCGCCCAGAAGCTCTGTGGATACAAAGAGCCTTGAGGGATGCAAATGCCAAGCAAGGGGAGGAATGACTTTGCGCGCTCTGTGGGAGTACACAGAGTGGTACTGGGATGAGACAAGTGTGCATGCCAGCAAAACAAGCATCGCGGGGGGTGTTTTTTCACGCCCCAGAGCGACAAAAGTTTTGCAGGCATAAGTGCTAGTGTCGACGCAGCCTTGAGAGGGAGATCCTTTAGGCTGACTATCTAAAAGGGACCAGGCGAAAGGCAGCCCTTGCCTCAGATGATGTGGTGGAGGTGTGGACCGGACCACACACTAGAATTCTTTGCATGGAACGAGCCTGCACAGGCAGCAGGATGGTCTGAATACCCCGAGGTGTCTTGCCCATCCCGTGTTCTCCTCCCGCCCAAAAGGACCTTGCCATTTCTGTGCCATGCAGGTTCTCCAGCCAGCACCCAACCTTCAGCGACGACCTGCCGAACTGCATCATCTCCGGCAAGGTGCTGGTGAAAACCAACATCCGGGAGTTCACCGAAACCGGCGCCATCTTTGAAGACGGCACCAGAGAGGAGGACATTGACGTGGTTGTCTTCGCCACGGGCTACAGCTTCTCTTTCCCCTTCCTCCGGGACTGTGTCAGCGTGACGGACAACCAGGTCTCCCTGTATAAATTCACCTTCCCCCCGCAACTGGAGAAGCCAACTCTGGCTTTCATTGGCCTCATCCAGGTACTGGGGGCCGTCATGCCCGTTGCGGAACTCCAGGCTCGCTGGGCCACGCGTGTGTTCAAAGGTACGTGACCCCAGACGTGGCACTAGGCTAGTGCCTGCTGGGCACAGTCGGGACTGAGCTGCCCCCGGAGATCCTAAAGCCAGGGCTCTCCAGGTGGAGAATCTGCCATTGCTCGCCTCCAAGTGACAGGCGGCTTGGCCACGCCTTTGCCTCTTTGTGATGCAGAGGAGCCCGAGGGGTTTAGTCCAGTGCCCCCCTGAATGGCCAGGGTCCCTGGGGCACGGGAGCCGGTTTGCTGCAGGGTTTAGGTGGGGGCGGGGGCAGAAACAACGCTCGTTTCCCTGGCGCGTTTTGTCTTTTCCTTGTTGCGCTTTCTGCCTTGGAGCTGTGCGCTCCGTGTCCGACCGCACCAGGTGGCTCTCCCTCCTGACTCCCTCTCTCTGCCAGGGCTGAGCGGATTGCCTTCCGCCAGCGACATGGAGGCCGACATTGCCCGCAAGAGAGAGGAAATGGCAAAACGGTAGGAACCGTGATGTGGCTCGGTAACCACTGGGCATGCTGGGAGGCTCCCGGGCAGCCACTTCCCACCCACGTCGCTGCTTCCCTCTCTGCTCACCTTTCTCCGCACGGGGACCTTGTCAACAGCCGCTGCCTTCCATGCACCCACGCACCAGGCCTCCCGCGGTCGTACGTCATGACCAGAGAAGGGGGCTACTGCACTGGAGACAAGGGAAAGGGCTGGGGGAGGGGGCTTATCCACCTGCCTTGTTCTTGTTATAGAATCCCGTCCCGCACGGCTGTTCGCCCCAATTCCTCCTGCCCTCTCTACT